CTCGTTGGCGGCGGGTATCGGCAACAGAAAAACCACGTCCAGGTCGTCGCTTTCTGGGCCTCAGGGTGAACAGAGGCTGCGCGGAGGCCAGAAGACCAGCCGATCACCGAACGCTGTCTACACGATGACAGCTGGAACAGTTGCCAGCCGCCTGCAAGCCGAAATCGGCTCCCACAAATCGTCCCCGCACAACCCAACATGCACGACTGCTGGGTTCCCCGATGCCTGGGAAAGAACCTGCGGGCCCCTGGATAGCATCGTACTGAGAAAACACGCCTGAAGCCCTGACGGACATCCGCGCTCACCAGAACCAAATCCAGGCCACCCGAACTATGCCCTCCCGCAGCGGGGTAAGTAATCGAACTATGCCACACACCTCCCCCCTGCCCCCCTCCCCCCCCAAAAAAAAAGTAACAAATGCCCGCACATCGGGAAGACTCTGATGCTCCAGAGAAGTGCGCCGGGATGCTCGGTTTTGCCGCCGTCGGGAACTCGCGGGGCCCTCGGCGTTCCCAACGCGTCGCGCTTCCCGCTGCCTGTGGGGCTGGTATGTCGGCCGCCTTCGCCGCCGCGTGGGGCCCTGGGCATTCTCCACACGTCACGCTTCCCACTGACTGGCTGGGAGGCATTGGTGCACGAATCGACTGCTCGGGGGCCCACGCGATATCATCATCTCGCCGTGGCTCCATCGAGACGGCATGCGGCGGGGATGCACACACAGTCTAGCAGAGGACAGCAAACATGCAATAAAGAAAACAGGTATTGCAAGACAGCTCGTTCCTGCCTGCTGGCGTGTCACTCAACGCGTCCGTATGAGCAGACTGTCAGCACCCGCCGTCTTCGTCTATGATCAGGGGGACGTAAGACCCGGGTACAGGGAACTCGGAAATCCCCGACGAGGTCGTCAAAAAATTGACGAGGCCGAGCCTGCATTTTGACGAGGCCTCCCGCTGCAGACATCCCACGAAACTCCTCCTCGTCAAAATCCGAGGCGCGGTCGTCAAAAAACGATGGCGAACCCGAGTCCTGGCAAACCCGGGTCTTACGCTCCCCCGATATGAGCGTACCCCCTCTGGGACGGGGCACCTTTGTTGCCCCAGCTACCCGGCAAACCCCGACGGGGTGCGAGAGGAGGGCTGGGCGGGCGGGCCCGGACGGACGGGTCGGGCGGGCAGACTCTCGCGGGCGGGACTGGCGGGAGGACCCGAACAGGCGGGCGAAGACGGAGGCGGCGGGAGAGAGAGAAAGGAAAGGCGGGAGAAGGGAGGAAGAGGGAAGGAGGAAAGAGGAAAGATGAGAGACGAGAAGGGCGGTGGTGCGATGGAGGAGAGAGGTGGCGGAGAGGGAGGGCGGCGCCAACTCTGCGCCCCGGAGCGCTGCTAGTGGGGGGATTTGAAAGCGGGCGGGCAGGCCCTAACAGGCGGGTCGGGCGGAACAATCAGGCGGACAGGCCAGGCGGGCGGACCCCCCCCCAAAAGGTCCAAAGAGTCCTCAGAAGGCCCTCAAGAGGCCCCGAAGAGGCCCCCAAGAGGACTCAGGGCGGGCTCAGGGAAGCCCAGATACTGTCAGCAGCTCAGTTCAACTCAAACCGTGCGTCAAAATCGCGCATCGCGCACCACTAGCTTCTCTTTCTCGACGAGCGTGAGCGAACAGGACGAGGGGAAAGAAAAGGAGAAGGAGAAGATTCAAGCATGTAAACAGCAGGCGTCCTGATTCCCGCGCCACAGGCGCGGTCGAGAGCACAGTCCGCGCGCGACGTACTGCTTCCCTCTGGATTCGGTCAGGAGAAGGTCCACCAGACCTGACACGCCACTCCTAGCAGCCGGTGAAGACCAGGATAGCGAACCCTGGGCAATGCGAGACCTCACCATAGATCCAGCTTCACGGGGGCAACTATGTGGAGGCTTCACTTTAGCAACATCCGCGCACACGCTCGCAATCAGCCCCGAAGTTGCGACCCCGGAAATGCATGGGACACACAAAAGCGCTTCCAGTTGTCACCGATAGTTTCCCAACATGCTGCTGCCCCTTCAAGGACGCGAAGCGGGAGGTGCAGGGCGACAGTGCGTCCAAGGGCCTTTCCTCACTCTCCTCCGCCTCCGCTGCCTCTTCCTACTCTTCGTTTCCCATCCCGTACTCATAGGATTCGCCTGTCTGGCCTGCACTGCTTTACTTCTCCACGTCAGCTAAGCTCGCGACAGTGGTCCTGGGAGCGGTGTCTTATCCTTCCACAACGCGCACGCCCGCGCAACTCAAAGCAAGGCTCGCAAAATGCGCCTCCCAAATCTATGAAAGTATGTTCCTTCATCTGCACATACACTACGCAAATATTTGCAAGTCCAAATACGCATGATGCAATCGTACCACAAACTCGCGTCTCCATGACCAGCATCAGTGTCACCACCGTCGTCCACGACAAACCCAGCACGAGATCCACTGAAGTAACTTATTTAAACCATCAGAAAGAATGTGTGCCAGTGCTGTGCACTGTAGATGTGCA